TTTGTAAAATTCTCTACCTTGAGCCCTAAAAAGTCACAGCACAAATTCATGTCATAAAAATTCACATATTACAATTTTACAAAATTACTTCAATTTTTACTACGGCAATTTTCTTTAATTATTTTTCTTATGACATCTTCTAATTGCATACATTTAGGAGCAGAATTTAAAGTTCAAGTAGAAAATACAATAACAAAATAAAATGATTAATTAGGTAAATTAGAATTTATGCAATTATTCTTATTCTTTTACTTGGAGATATTAATTTATGGTTACTCTTTTGCTTTAGTTAAAAATTTATTGAAATTTGTTACAGTTTTCTTTAAGAAATAAATAGCTGAATATCGAAATTTTACCAATTTTATAAGGTTATATAATTTGGAAGGAAGAGCATATTAGTATTAATACATTCTTAGCTATAAGACCCAAGTGTTGTATTCATATACCGTAATAAGTTAGGCATTTTGAAATTGATTTTCCAAAATTTAATCTAATACAAAAGTATAAGCATGTTCAAGAACAAAATATTTGGCAACATTTAGAATTTTGAATCAACTCTGGTACAATCATGAAATACTTAACGACAAGTTATCCAAATAATTAAGGTTCAATTAACAGTTTTAATTGAAAACTTTATTAAAGATTGTGAAACATTCAAAAAAAAATTTTACTCATTATAAAGAATTATTGAAATCTATGAAAACTTTAAAAAATTTTTTTTGCTATATAAAAAAAAAATTATATATACCTACATACGTATATAATATATAACTTAGGTTTCAATCAATATTTATGTATATGTATATCTACGAGTATATATTGTATACGTATCTACAATTAAGGTATTAAATAAATTGTTAAAAAGGAAAACGTGATATTTAAACTTTAAAATAATCTTTTAAATTATTGAAGCGTAATATGGAACGCACATGTAGCTTCATTGAACCGAATAATATTTTTGTAATTAAGCTTAAAATATTTAGACGTATTATAAATTCTTAATAATATTATATATAAATAGGTGCTATAATATATATATATATATATATATAAATATGTATGTAAATAATATTGAATTTTAATTGAATTTTGTTTTTGTTTTTTCAAATAATTTTACATAAAATTTATATGTACGGGTATAAGAAAAAAAATCTGTGAAAAAAAAAAAATTAATATCGCGTGCTTCAATAGGGTGTTAAAAGTCTGAATAAATGAAATTTTTAACAAAGAAATAAAATAAAATCTGCTACTTGTTGTTAATATAATTATGTATGTACAATATGTGTATGTAATTAGCCATGTAATAATATGTACATATATTTATGTTAAATTTTATTATGTACACATAATGTTAATTAGTAAATAATTTTTTAACATGTGACTATATTTAGTGTAAACTACACGTATTCAAATATACATTTGAACACGTTCCATATAATATTATGTACAAAATTTGCAATATATTATTAAAATATATTTATTTATAAAAATTTGTTTATTTTGTAATAAAAAATTATGTATTAAGTGTTGCTGAAAAACACGATTTTTTACATACGATATATGTACAAAACACGATATGTATACATATACGGTAAAAATTCATTATAAAATCTGAATAATGAATTTTATATGTATAACACTTTTGTATATTATGTAATTGCATTAATTGTATATAAACATGATATTAAATATTTTTAAATTTAAATTTTTTACAAATTTTTACAAATTATTTTAATTTTAATACCTGACCAATTAAAAATTTAAAATCGAACCTAAAATTATTATAGTTTTGAATTAAAATTGAATTAAATTGAAAAAGTTTTATTTGAGGCTAAAATAAAATTTCTAGAATAGATCATATTTATTTTTTTTTTTAATTAGAGATGAATTTTCGTGTTGACTTGAGGTAGGAAGTTTGCTATCAGCTTTTTTTTTTATTTAATTGAAATTTTGAATATTATTGCGATTTAGTATGCAATATTGGATAAAAAAATCACTTTTCTCATACTGTAACAGAAATTATATTTTTCTAAATAAAAATTACAGGTTTTTGTTATTTTGAAGTTTTTGTTACAAATTTCCAATTATATAATTAATATTTAATTAAAATATGCATCATATAATGTAGGGCCATAAATTAAGGGATTAATTATTATTTTTAATTTATTATTTAAGTCTACTTATTCCTTTGATATTAAGGACATATAGGTTATATTAAAATGTATTTCAAAATAGTGTAATTATTATATTAAATTAATATTCGTAATGTTCTTTTAATATTCGTAATAAACATTTTCTTAATCTTAACATCCTCTTTTAATATCGTATTTTAATTAGTATTAAGATTTTAATATTATATTTCATCAGATTCCGAGTAAATTATTGTAAAATTTTTCAAAAATTAGAATATATTACAAAACTGAAATACCAATGTTAGGGCTAAGAGTAAAATGTTGTTTGATACATACATATATGAATAATATTACCTTATGTTCTTGGGGCAACGAAAATTTTCAATATAACAAGCTCAATTCCACATTGTACAATTGAATTTTTGTTTTTTTATCAGAAATTTTTCGATTATTTTTGCAAATATTATTTTCAAGAAACAAAGTGTTTAAAATGAAATAAAATTATTATTTTAAATAATCACAATTTCAAAATTTCATTCATAACTTATAAATTGAATTGTGAATTAATGCAGTATTATTATTGCATATTGCGAGTAGGGTAATTAAACAAATGTTATTCTCTTTATAAATAATTGCACCTTATTTTTAGCAATATTATACAATTAATATTGATTTATGAATTTGTAAAGAATGCATCTAATTGCTTTTCATTTAATTTCCCTTTAAATATTAATTTTTCTATAAAAGAAATTGCAAAAATTTTATATTAACCCCCGTTTTGTTTTTGAATCAGAAAAAAATGTTCCTAATTATAATGATTTTTAAAAATGATTTTTTCCAAAAAAAAAGAGTTAAAATTCAACATTCTTTATTTACAATAAAGCAATTGTATAGTTGTGAAGAGAGAACAATTTTTTTTTTTGTTAGTACAGTCGAATGCTTTTTAACACTTTTTTCCCAACTCTGTACCTATTGAATTTGGGTGTTCTTTTTTTTTTTCTCTTATTTTTTAAGTTGAATTCGGACTTTTGTTACGTTTTATTATTATTATTGTTTTTTTTTTATTATTTTCTGATTCTTTTCATTAAATTTTGTTTTTGTGTTAAAATTTCAAAAAAAAAAAAAATAAAGTACTTAAGTAGATGTGAAAAATATGAAAGTTCTTGGCTGTTTTTTTTTTGGAGTGGTTGTGTTGGGTTCTTAAAAGGAGAGTGGTGTTTTTATTTTTCCCCCTATATATATATATATATATATATATATTATACAGGGATTAAATATTTTTTTGAGAGAAAAAAAGGAGTGCCACAAGCAATATTTTTTTTCTTTTTATATTTTCATTTTATTTTTTTTTTATTTTTATTTTATGGCGAGTTTGTTAAAAAATATAAATTGCTTTTTCATTCTTAATAATTTTTTAGGCTCTTTTATTTTTTTCGTTTCTTCATTTTTATTACTTAAAAAACATTCATTCAAAATTAAAATACCAGAATTATATGTACATTTTGTATATAAGAATTTATATATGTATGTGTAAGTGTTGTATAGGTAAATAGATATATTTTTTTTTATTATTTTTTTTTACATAGAATGAAAACATGAAAAGAGTGTAAACATAAAATTGCAATAAAACTTTTCAGACTTTTATTTCTTTTTGATTTGCTTTGGATATTTTATTTTTGAAGATTTGTACAAATTCTGGAGAGATGATTGACAGACCAGACTAAAGAATTAAGTATTAATATATATATATATATATTTTTAGCACTTTTCCAAAAAATTTTTTGAAAAAAGTGCTTATTAGTTTCACTCTGTCCGTCCGTCCGTGTGTCTGTTTACAAAACTTCTACACCCTTGAAGATAGAAAGCTGAAATTTTATATATACATAGATCTTTACTAGAAACTTATTTTCGTAGAACAAAATTTTTACCTATCTCCCCCCCTCTAGAAGTTATACCCCCCCAAAACCCTAAAAATGGCCTTTTTTAAATATTTGTTGCAATGAAACCATAAGTATTTTTGAAATTTTGCAAACGCAGAAAGGCAGTGGCTTGCTTCCCCTAGCGCGGTATACTATAGTTAAACTTTAGAAAAACAAAATGGCCGTTGAAATTTACCGTTATCTAAAGTCCTTTTTTTCCAAATTTTTGATGTCGTTTTTCTTCTAGATCCTATATTCTAGAACTTTGAAATTTTAGGGGCTTTTAGACATTAACAAATAGTTCATTTCGTTAGAAGAAATTTTTTTTCCATCTCCACCCCCTCTCAAGTTATCACCTCTTGAAAATCGTAAAATTTGAATTTTTGACACCCTATATTTCCGAAACCGCAAGCTTTTCCAAATTTTTATAAACGCAAAAAGCTAACGGTAAATTTCGTGACACTAAAAAATATAATTATTTTTCTTAACTCACACAATTAACCCTTAAAATCGAGCATAATGTTAACCCTTTTTTATATTAATTTTTGCTTTATTTCAAAGACTGCATATATGCGTCATCCTAAATATATGCAATCCTAGTAATAGTTTTGTATATGAATGAAAATAATTTTTATAGTGTGATAGGTATACATAGACTGTATTTAAAAGCAGAATTTTCACTTGTTGAAGGGAAAAGTGCTACAATACAAACCATTGGTTTGACCCAACTTTATTTATATTATATATTATTATATAGGCATTTTGAGAATCTTATTATTTCTGTATATTCGAATGGAATGTGCATTAATTGTGAAATGAAAAATATGATTTCGGTTTTTAATAAAAGAGTTAATTTAGAATTATGTATAGATTTAATTTAAAAATCTCTTATACAGATATATATATATATATATATATATATGTATATTTGTAATATTTTAAAACTTACTTGTTGAACACTAGGTGTCGTTGATGTTCCTGCTGGTGAATCAAGAGGTGATCCCGAACAACTGGAATGACTACTATCTTGAGATATGAACTGAAAAACAAAAACCAATCCAAAGAAAAAAATATTAAATAAATTTTTAAATAAATTTTAAATTTAATTTTATTTTGTTAATTTTGAAAAATTGTTAATTTAATCATGGTAGGTATATATCTAGCTGTGTATATTACGTTCCATGTACATATAGGTAGGGATGATTATACGATAATAATCATGATATTTTATTGAAATTATTTTATAGAAAATAAATTTGTGACAAAAAAAAACGAAAGAAAGAAAGGTGTTTATAATAATGTGCATATAGGTGTTTAATATTATAATTTGATTATATGCTTATAATTATAATGAAATAAAATTTGTTTTTGTATTATGTTTTAAAAATATATAAAATCAAAACAACAGTCTGATATTAGTTTTCATATCACTAATTGGTATATATGGTTTATTAATTTAATAATATATATAATTATGGGGAATATGATACCAAATAATGCAATATAAATTTGTGAGCATAAAAAGCGACTCTAATTACATAATCATCTCTTTTGATAATTGCGGTGCATGTATTGTATAGATTGTATCAAGATTTTTCCTGAAAACAGAGTATGACAAAATTTTTCATTTTTTCCAACGTGTGTTTCAGAGAAATTACAGACAGATTGTGTTTGTGAAATGAAAATATCTTTCTTTGGCTACCATTCCAGATAGGTATAATTTCAGTTTTTATATATATATACACACACGTTTCATTCACATATTTTGAATTCCAGACAGACACGATATCTGTTTTAAAACATTTTTCGTTTGTTTAGCACCCATTTAAGTAGAAGGAAAGTATTTCAATTTTCAAATATTTTTTTTTCCGTATTCTGCATTAAGTACAGACTTAATTTCAGCTTTTTTAATTTTCGCTTTTTTAATGTTTTAGTATACATGAATATACATTGGAACGCATGCGTAAAGCATATTACATATACTTGAAGTAATTTAATTTTAATTTAATTCTTTTTCAATTCAAATTCAAATATGATAAAGTAAAAATTTGGGTTTTGCATATGGATGTGCAAAACAAAATTTATTATTTACCTTTATAACACAATAATTTAAAATATATATTAAATATATATAGTTCTATATACATATCTTTAAAATTAACCTTGAAAAATTCTAATAATTTAATATTCAAATAGAAAATAATAGTTATAGAAAATTATATACAAAAGAATAATATATATATATATGAAAAATAAATATAGAAAAAAAAAATTCATAATAATCATCCCCCACAATAATTATAATGATATTATATCCAAGTATATATTAAAATACATGTATATAGTAAATAAATAGAATGAAAATTAAAAATATATATATATATATATATGTATTATAATTTTTCTCACCTGTTGATTAGCACTTCCATTAGTTGTTTTATAATTTTGTTGAATTGTACCAACAATACCAGTTCCTATTTCATTATTATTATTATTTTGATTATTATTATTATTGTTATTATTATTTATATTACCGTTATTTATAATAGTACCATTAACTGGTGATGTTACATTTATTGTTGTAAATGTATAATTATCTAATGGACTTTGCATTGCTATTAATGTATTAACAATTTCTGGTGTTTTTGGTGTTGAACATAATCCATTACCATCAACACTAAGTAATGATGCAGCCGGTATATTTAAATTAAACATTTTGATTGATTTTTTTTTTCTTATTTTTATTAAATTAAATAATTATAATATAATATAAATATTGTATTTTGCTTTTTTTTTTGTTTTTGTAAATTAGCACACAAAAATAATAAACGCACAAAATATTATATGTATTTATTGATTTTATTATATAATTATTATATTTTGTTTATGTTTAAAAAAATTATTATATTTTATTGTTATACTATTATTATTAATATTATATAATATTTTAGAAAGTTCTCTTTTAATCACAGTTGGAATATTAATATATACATGCATATGCATGTATATATATTTTATATCATTTAAATTTTATTTTTAATTAAATAAATTATAATAATTTATATATTAATAGTAATTTTTTTATTTTGTGTTTATGTGCATGTGTTTGTGTATTTTTATATCAGTTTTTGTTTTTTGTAATTTTTTTTTTTAAATGCTGATTATTTGAGTATGAATGACATTTCACAGATTTTGTTATTATTTTTTTTTATATTATATTAATTATACATATGTATATACCAGTATATATATTTAATAATTTGTTATACTAATTTTGGTTATTTCGATTTTATTATTATTATTTATATATTTTCCAATTCTTTACAATATTTTATTATCAATTTTAATTTTAATATTTATTTGAAATATTTTTATATAATAGATTAAATAGAATTATTTACACCTATAGTTTTAATTTTATATAATAAAAGTTTTAAATACCTATACAATTTTTTTTTTACCAAAAAATTTTCATTTTTTATATTTTTCTGAAATTACGAATATTTTTTCAATGAGTTGTAGTTAATTTTCAATTTGTTATTCTATTATAACTATATTAATTTTTTACTTAATAAATTATTAATATTTATTTTATACACTACACATATAATATATATAGAAATCACAAGAAAAAAGACAAAAAATTTTTAATATTAATTTAATAATAATTATTAATTTTTTATATTTATAAAATATACAAAAAAAGAAACACAAAATTATTGGACTGAATATTCTTATGAATATATTTTTTAATTAATAATTTTAATATATTAAAATTTTTAAAATGTTTCTTTTATAAGGCAATTATAATTTTGATTATTTGATTTTTTATTCCAACACACATCAATTGTATATATATCTATAAATGAAGTATACGAAGAAGTCTTTAAATTTAGTTTTTAAATTTTTAGTTTATTTTTATTAATATTTATAGAGGTATATTTATGTGTATATATCAATTTACAATATTATTATTAAAATATATTTATTTATATAGTTAATTTATTGTTCCTATCTTTTTGTTATGTATATAAATTCTATTAGTGTTGGTTTTTTGAAGGCCTTTAATATTCTGAATAGTTCTGAAATTAAAAAAAGAAAAAAATGATAATAATTATTAATTAATTTGTTAATTATAAATTTAATTATTTTACAGTAATAATTTATTTATTAAATTTTTTATTTAGATTTAATTGTAAAATTTAAATTAAACTCATATTATAAAAATAAAGTATGTAAGAATGGGCATACATAAAAAGAGCACTCAGTGTATAAACTCAGAATATTTATTATTTTGAATCTTAAACTTCATTTATTGGCGAGTCAAAATTTACAGGGGAAGAGCATTAAAATAACAAAATTATTGCTAGAGTTTTTATAATTTTTTGTAAGTTTTTGTAATATTTGAAAAAATGTAGTATACCTGCAACATAAGCCAATAAATAAGAAAGTAAATTTGAGTTCTTTTCGGTATAGGATAGTAATCGGAAGCTTTATGGTAAAGAAGAACAAGCTATTACACCTTAATTATAATGTTATTCTAAATATTTATTCTATTCCGCATTTTTAGTCAAAAACAGCTGATTTAAGGAAATATATTAAAAATTATTCAAAATTTTCCTTTTATACTTTTGCAGTTTTTATTTTGAAATTTCGATTTCTTGAATTAATAATTAAATTACAGTTATTAATTTCGTTTTTGTTTCCTTGTTTTTAAATCTTAATACGAATTTTTTCAAATTACAAAAATAAAAAAATATTTAAATATTATGATGGAAATGCCAAAAATGACATTTAACGTCGATTAATCGATCATTTTTGGACATAAAAATCGTTTATTATAATAAAATTATTCTATTTATAATATTATGTTAAATTATTTTAAATGCAATAAATACGGTATTAAATGAATTTGTTGTTTATGATAATTACATGTTTGTACACATATATGGAAGCATATATATAGGGTTGTAGTTGTTTAATAGTCAATCATAACATCGAAAATATTCGATTATATTTTATTATAGTTCAAAATGTTTTATATGTTTTGATTTGACGGATTTTGTAAATGTAATTGAAATTGATTCTATGTTAAAAATTTAATAGAGTTATAAAAAAAAATCGGAATATATATATATTATTAAATATACTTGTTATATAATTAAAAATTATTTCAAATCATAATTATTTTAAAATTTTGATAAATAACATTTACTTTTCATATGTTTCGACTATAATTAATTTGTTCAATTTATTCTAAAAGCATATTAATTTATATATGTATACAAATTTAAAAATATTATGCTAGAATTAATTAATTTTTGATTTTTATATATATCAAACACTGGAACTGGAAATATTTTGAATGATTTTTTTTTTACCAACTCTAAAGATTTATTACATTATTTTTTTAGTAAATTATTAACTAAATATTTAAGGTTATCTATATATACTAGTAATAATAACAATAATATGGTAGTAAACAGTTTTGTTCAACAAATTTAACGAAGAAAAAAAAATTTCTTATATTCTTTTAAAAACTAGTTAAAAGTAGTTTAATTTTTAACTTGAATTTTTGGTGATTTATTGGAATAGAAAATGTTTTTTTTTTTTTCAGATATGGTAAAATTTGTATTTAAGTTTCTTTCAGATTAATTAAGATAAAAAATAGGAACTGGATTCATAATATATAATAATAATAATAATAATAATTATTACCTATTGATTAATAACCATATATAAATAGTTAAGTTACATCTTAATTAGCACATATTTTATTAAAAATATATGAAGAACTTTTAATATTATATTGAATTTTTATATATATTGAATTTCATTATTATTTTTTTTTTTATACGGAAATTATAGAATTGCTAATTAAATTACGATATTTAATTGATTGAAATCATAAATATTATGTAGGTAAATATTTGTATTATGAGAAATATATTTTATATTTGCAATATTGTTATAAACTGATAACGTTTGAAAACTTTCATAGAATGATATGTATATGGTCTTTTAAGATTTGAAGAAAAATTATAAAGATGTTTGTGCTAGTTAGACAAATAAATATTGTAAAATGACAGACAGCTACACCTATTGAATTGTTTGATTTCAATTATAAGTATTCTCGATATTTAAATTTTTGGAATACTTTTTACGATATTTAGTTATAAATTATAGATAGTTCACAAAAAACAGGCTCCATTTCATAATTTACTATAAAATGTCGTAGAATATAGCTAATACTTTGTTTTAATTTAGAAGACCTTACTAAAATTTTATATACTCTTAATAGTTCCTAAAAAGGGTAGGATTTATTTAATGCATAATTTTATTTTTGGAGACTATTAATTTTATGAATTTAATATATGATACAATGTTCATTATGTGAAAACGAATGTATAAACTCATAAATTTTTTCCAACTTCATAACCTACATGTGTTTATACTGAACATGAGAGCATTGAATATTTTAGATAGAATTTCGAATAAAATAATAAAATCAAATGAAGTTGTTAACCATTTTTCTTTTATTAATGCATTTTTGTTCTCATTGCAGAATGCGTGACCATCAAACTTTAATATTATATTTTTTTTTTATAAATTTTATGTTTTATATAAACACTATACACAATTATGCATTAATTTATTATTCATAACACATATTTTTATGTAATAATATTTGTAATAAAAAAAGAATCATTATTACATTTAATGCAAACTTAATATACAAACACGTAAAATAATAAAAAAAAATTTATTATAGACACTTACACATTTACAAATATTTTTGTGACAATTACAAGCCCATATGTTAAAAATATGTATGATAGTGCTATATGCGATAATACTGTGATTATTTTACAATAATGATGATGATTCATAAAAATTTTTATGCATTTTTCGAAAATTTCGAAAAAGTTGTATACGGTTAATTTATTAATTTAAAAAAAATTTTGAATATTTGACATTAGTTTCATGCCGCCTTTTATTCAAAGACTTTAAAAATACTGCCCGATTGTGTGAACGTACGTGTAATTTTGTACACGTACAATATACTTATGTACAATTTATTTGAGAATATTAAAATTGCTATTAGAATGGATGATTTTAAATTCTTACTTTCGGTAAATTTCAAGATGTGCAATGTGTACTAGAAGGTGCCTATAAATATTTAAAATAATTAGTGACGTTGAGCTAAGTCGAATAAGGCGTTACATTGTATGGAATAATCTATTTCTTTTAGTTATATTAATTTTGCATTACATGTATACCGTATATAATCACAAAAATAGATAATTAAGTTTTAAACTATAATTTAATGGAGACAAAATGACCTTGGTATCACGAACGAGTTTGCTCGCTCTAAATGTATCCTTAAGTGAGCTGCTTCTGCCGTATATACTTAGATTATAAAATTGGACAAATTATCATTGTTACAGACAGTTAGCATAATATAACTTAAGATTTTCAAACCCACTAGAATTCATTTACATTTAATTAAAACAATAAATTTTTGCTTTTTAATATAACCTAAAGTTGATAAGATCAACTATAAATTTCTTAATTTTTTTAATATGTTAACATTCAAATAATAAGAAATAAGAAACTATAAAGAATAATGTAATATATCATAAATTTTATTGAAACGACTATACCGGAGCATATTATAATATTCAAGTCAGTTGAAAAAAATATTAAAATTCCAAAAATATTATTGTATAATGAAAGAGTATATAATATGTTGGTATTTTTTTGATTCCCATCCTTAAAAAATATAATATTTTCGGTTTTATGTTTCGAAAGTATGCAATAAAATTTAATGATTTTTAACACATATTTTATGTTATTG